ACGATTATCTACCCATAATACAAGAACGTGTTTGTTCGTACTCGTGGATCATTTTTCTGTCTTGTTTTCATTTAACCCTTCCTTTTACTAACTGCATTGAATGATACAATTTTTCATGAAGGGGAGGGGTCCTGCCGTACAACACACATACACACACACACACTCAGACAATGGGAAAAGTCAGACAGTGGGTGTAGGGGTCGAACACACGTCCTCTGTGATAATAATTTGGTGACGTTAAGTTCGGGCCCGTGGATGAATAGTGTCAGTTAGAACATGACACCGGTGGACAGTGAAATTCGTGTAATTCCTAAACATGTATTCAGTGAATCCATTCATTGCCAATTACAATTTTTTATCAGTTCAGAAATCACGTAGGCATGATTGAATATAACATAAACCTATCCAACCTTGTTGCATATTCCACTTCAAATGTCTTGAGTGTATTTTTACACTAAACCATTCCCTCATCTCCCTCTGACAATGTAGAGATTCATGGAAAGCCGATGAGCAGGGTCAACCATGTGAAATACTTCGATGTCACCCATGAAAGTAATATTCACTGGTTCTTACATATCCAAACGGTTGCTCGCAAGTTGAAAGTTCTTTTTTTTGATATATGAAGACTGCGCCATTTCTGTTCCAACTTGTCGGTGATAGATGCTTTCGTTCAACAATGTGTTCTGCTTGTACCCCCTCACAACTCTCCTATAATTTTCCGTGGTTTACTGAACGCTGATTTCCAGTTCAATGATCAGCCGTGTCCCCCAAGTTCTGCCATCTGTTCTGATTGGCAATATGTGCAATGCCCATATAGATGCGTGCTTGAAGTTTACTGACAATATCCTATCTGATTGCACCCATCCGCTCACACATTGATCTGTGTGCATGCAAATCACACACCCACCACCCGTTCCGAGTACAAACTTATCCCGTCTCGCATGTCCTCATACATAAACTCTTTTGTACCCTATCTTGCCCGGATACTGACCGACAAGGAAATTGTTCGTTCTGAGCTTTTCAATGCACTTAGTATTTAACTCATATATTTGTACGTTTCAAGTCCCACTTTTTCAACTCATTTTTTTTACCAGAATTGTAACGGTGGTCTATTTTTGACTGAACGCTTGTATATAACTTGTTCAAGCTTCAATACAATGCAATTTAATACAAAGATCCCGATTCGATGGGACACACAGGAAATAATATGAACAGTGTGTTGTGTGTTGTGGATTGCCAAAACTAACAGCAACAACGCAGTCAAATTCCCAAATCTATTCCCAGTTCGACCGAATAACAAGTTGCCTTTTACAAAAGAGACAAAAGGACACCATTTTCACAATCCTCACGAATATATCAGACCGGAGATTAGGTTATCCAGTTGACTGGACAAATCGAAGCGGACATTTTGCGTTTTGATATGATGTGGTAAAAAAAAAACAGAAACAGAACACTCGAGGATTTGATGTCATCAGCGATTACCAGATATGTTGACTGCGAGATCACTTTTTTGCAATACGATTCCTGTATCATAAGCGATTATAAATTAGGTTTGTGTGGTCATTCATTGTTAACACATTTCAACCATGCGTATGTGTGTCAAAGACCGGAGTCCCCTAATAACCTATTCGATTAACCGTGGGAACCTAACGGCGCAAGTCTGTCACAGTGATCCGATCTGTGGACAGAAAACGATTAACACACAAATTTATGCACTACATCTAAAAGTTCATTCATGACAAATGACGCATCAAAATGAACAATGGCGTTTTCAGTAATTGTACATTGTTCGAGAAAAATCCAATCGCCTATTTCGACCACTACTCGAGAAGAAAGGTTATCGAGAATTTCTTCCGTTTTTTGTGACAGTTACTGCCACGCGGCCTGATTGGATGTATCGTTTGACACGTCTATATGAATGCATTAAAATACGGGGATCAATCAATCATTCCCGTACTCTAATTTAGTTCACTGACCACTTGTTGTCCAGCACTTTCATGGCACTGGGCAGCAATCTGATGATAACAAATTGTTACAAGACTTTATCCAGCTACCGTGATATGTGTAACCAACAACAACAACAACAATAACAACAAAAATTTGATTCCCATCTTGGTTCAGGTTCTATTCACGTCCCAATTGGATTGTTGCCCAAACGTTTTTCATCAAACTGTGAGCATGTCCTCTCACATGGATGAATATTTCATTTGTAGGTAGAAAACAGAACAGGGGTCAGTATTGCACGTACACTGCTCAGAATCTGCCACCCCGGCCGATGGAGAACGCTCCCAATCACGTCAATGGAAAGCTCGTTTTTTTTAATTGCAAATTGTGTCAAAACACTGGGAACAATGTATGCGGTTGATAAACTTGTAACACGCGTAACGGCGTGCAGATGACAGATTGAATGATCTGTTCATTTGAATAGGTGGTGTTGTACATGCACATATATATATATATGTGCGTAAAAACTCTTACATTATAAGAGAGTGTGACCTGACCAATCACTTCTCATTATCCTGTTCATATTGTGTCCGTTGTGCCAATCTTATCCGTAGCTAGTGACACCCGGCTGTTCCATTCTACACTGCAGAAATTTACCGTTTGTACACATGACTTTTTCCCTGAAGCGCATGTGAGAAATTAAATTTGGCCAAGCACAGTCAGTTTTGTATACTATCAGCTTTTTAATACATATTGTAAGAGGTGTGTGTGTGTATGCCTGCGCCTAATTAATTATGACTGATCGTGATTGTGCCGGAGTTTTTATTTTGAAGGAGAAGAAGAACTTTTTTTTTAAATCAGTCGAAAAGTGCCCGTTCGTAGAAACAAGAACAGGTATCAAACTGACAAAGAGGATGACTGTGACAGAGACAGAACGGGAGAGAAAGCTGAACGATAACGTGTTTAATTGGAGGGGAACAATTATTTGATTAACGAAAAATGGTTCCCAAACGTATGAACGTTCTGATTGGCCATATTTTTCTTCATCGAATGGATCTGGTGAACGTTTCGGTAAACAACGTGTCACTAGGTGAACTGGGTTATCTCATGTGGTAGTATTGCAGGATTCTATTCCTTTTCAAAGGTGATTTCATTGTGTATATAGCAAATAAAGGGTGAACTGAAAAGCTAGGAAGCACTAGATAGCCGCTGTTTCGACCGGTCCGGTGACCGAATGGGTAGCATGCTTGTGTTCTGCTTGTGAGGTCCCGGGTTCACGATCCCCACCAGTTGGGTTGATGGATTCGCACCATGCTGCTGATGAAACTCAACCAGGTCGAAACAGCGGTTGTCCAGTGCTTCCTAGTTTTTTTGAGTTCACGCTTCATTTGTTGTATACAGGACGAAATCATCTTTGAAATTAGGTTTTTGAAGAAGAAAAAAACGGTATTGGCCGACAGAATTACACTTACCGTTTAGACACGTCTTGTAGGAATACCCATAATAGGCTGCCAACCCGGTCGCCGTTAACAGCAATAGCAAGAGGATCAGTATAAGGATAATAAGGCTGATATAGGCTACACGAGATGGACGCTGAATTCGTCTCCACCGACTTGACGGTGACATCACCGTGG